GCAAATAACTTTTGATAGAGGCATGCTAGAGCGATGAAAACGCCTTATATGTGTTCAGCTCGACGATACGGATCGACTGATATGCAACATGACCCTTTCCAGACAGGTCATGACCTTGACCTGAGGTCAAATTTTCAAGTTGACCTTTCAGGGTCAAATTATAGTTCATTCGATGCGTCTTGACGAGAGGAACACGATGCCGGTAAAAGTAAGCTCGTACAAGGCTTGGGTCAAAAGTTATTGCAGAAAAACTGTTTCCGAAAAAAATCGGCTATTTTTGCAGTTTTTGCCCCCTGCAGGCAAACCGTTGACGTTAGGTCAAATCTGAGAGAATTACTCAGAAAGGGCGTTAATAGGGCTATCGAATGCGCTTTTCCGCGGCGCTGTAGCTCTATTGGTTCCCGAGTTATGCGTTGGCTTCTTGGAAATTGTCGACATTCGACCTGGAAATCGGCAAAATTTTGCCTTCAATGACCTCTGGTGACCTGACCTTTGACCTGACCAAAAAATTGACCGAAGTGATTTCGTCATTATTTTTGGCGCTCTTTCGAACGCCGCCTTCCGCGTATTGCTACGTGGCAGGAGCCGAGTTAGAAGGGTGTTCAGACACCCCCCTAGGTGTCTGAGCAGGGCGTGGAAATCCACCCCCAGCAGGGCGTGGAAATCCAGGACCCCCAGCCGGGCGCGGGTTAATACATTAGCAGAATACGACAGAGTGTCCCATACGCGATTGAAATAGGGCGACAGAATCCAAGAGCAGTCAGGACATACGCGTCAAGATATCTCCGGGATGCAAGACGTACTAGCCCCCCCCCCCCGCAAAAAATAACAGCAACAACAGCACAGTTATTCACGAGTGCTCACTTCATTTCGCCTGCTCTAAATATCTCTCGTGGGGAGAAAGAGACTGATAAAAAATGAGATTACAGTATAGCGAGATAAGTCCCAATTTTCGTTCCAGTCCAGTCTAGCCCAGTTGAGTTTATTCCAGTCCAGTTCAGTCTAGTTAGTCTAACCCAGCTCAAGTCAGTCATGTCACCGTGGTAGCCCTGGCGTCATAGGGGCCCGTGGCCAACCCCTGCTATTGACGTTTTCTGCACCGCTCGCCGCATGTGCGGCCCACCGGCGTCCAGTCGGAGCTTTGGTTGGTTGTGGGCGTCCAAATCCGACCGTTCAGTATGCTAGATGGTTAGGTGTCACGCAGGGGCCCGCCCCTCCCCCTCCTACCCAAAGCTTACCCATAGCACAGCGCACTGTCAAAAGGCTAACATATAATCCGGGAATAGCGTGTACCGCGGTGTGAATTATCGACAATAAAACGTTCAACGACTTGGGTTGCTAACATAATGCGCAGAAGGTTGTGGACTCGGAACTAATCGAAAACGACCTCCGAAATATAAGGGTCGGGGCCAATGGTAGTAGCTCCGTCCATCCGTCAACGAATTCAGAAACGTCATGTCTTCTTTATCACAAAACATTGGGTCCTTGAGCATAGCTGTCTTGACTGTACTAAGATAAGTGGATGATACATGGTGTCGTTTCTGACCAAATTGAGCAAACAAATCAACATCCTGTCAGCTGATCTTACCCTCGAGCCAGTGTTGCGATGGGATCGGGTATTTTTTCCTGTCAAATATATGGCGCAGCTACGGAGTGGAACTGGTGACCAATGAGCATCTAACAGCGCCCGCCTTCCTACCGGGCTACAGGGGGTTAAAAATGGAACCCTTGACAGACTCAACCATCAACTTAATGGCACTGCATAAAACCTTAGTACCGGCGGCGTAAGTACCGTGTGAAATAACCGGCGACATTGCCAGGTTTCACACCCGCCGGGCGGCCGTCCTAGTGCGGAGTTATACACATTGCTGCTAACTAACCAAATGAATAATGTCGTCATGAAAACGGACATGTAAAACTGTACGTACGAATACTTTCGAAATAATAAAGAACTTTGTCATAATAATATCCCCGTCTAAGCACGAAGCTAGGAAATGAGTGGACCACGCGGTTCTTTTGCGGGAAGTGAGTTTGACAACAAAAAGTCATAATACGGTCATGATTCACAATGAATGTCGCATCGTGGGCTCATGGAATATGCCTTTGTAAACATGACAGCACTTTTGTGAACGCTTGTGTGTTAGTGAAGGGGTTGAAGATATCCAATGCTGAAGTTGCTACAAATAAACCTATTTCCACTTATGCTGATTTACATATCACTGGCTGTGATACGAGCAAAGCGATAAGATCAGCCTATGAGATCAATAACTTTTCAAGAACATCAGACATCTTTTCGATATACCAATAGTAATCAATAATCAATAACTAAGATCAAAAACTTTTTATTTTCTGCAAGAAATAGCGATTTTTCATTCCCCAAACACCATCACGGCTTCGGATAACCTAACACTTCATGAAATGAATAATACCTGAGCAAGAAAAATCAGCCCTAAGTAGGCGTCGCTGCGGATACATTCTCGAATATAACGCCGCCGTAGGGCATTTCGCAAAACACATCCCTATATCAATATAGCTACAGCATCACCTACCCGTATCAAGATCACAATCTCCCGCACTGCGTGCTATGACCAAAACACAGGCGTTCGACATCAGCCGCAGACGTCTTTTGATCTTCGACTGTTGGATAATAACGTCTGATTTTTTTTTTCACTCGACACCTCGGCTTAAACACAGCTCTGGGATACCGATTACCGGCTTACATAAGCGCATTTCTCGATCGGCATTTTGACAATGAAGAATGCGTCCTCATAGCGGAGTTAGGCCGTGGGGCGTAGGGCAGGAGGACTGCCCCGCTTGGGGAGACACGGCTCACCATTACACCTCAGAGACCACACTGCGTGCCCAACTCATCAGTCACGGAGTCAGAAGCCAAGCAGTTCTGCTAGTCGTCCAAGTTCAAACATCAACAATGGCCGGATCGGCAGAGCCATCCGTTTTCTCAGAGCCACCAGCATTTCTCACCGCCGACAGTTTCTGTCCGTTTTCATTTATCGAACACAGTACAGCAATCCAGGGCAGATGGTATTACCCAGTAACCAGATGCAGCGTACCAACAAAATCCATACCTCATTTACCTACCCGATGTGTGAAAAGCATTAGGCATTCCTGCTCAGTAACCCAGACTCGTGCCATGCAACGGCAAACGAGAAACGAGCGCGATTCACGTTCCCTGAATACCGGTGAGGGCATGGACTCTCTTCGACTCGAATTCAGTAGTCATACTGGGACGCACTGGCCGGGTTATGGTCCTGTCGATACGCCTATAGCGGGCTGTCATGCAGCGTTATAACGTGCGTTGTCAGGGGAATGAACAACCGCTCGACTTCTGGCGAAATGACAGACCGCTAGACATTTGCGGTGCCGAATGCGCCGATATGTTATGATGGTTCAGTAGTCACAGCCGAGTGCCGCATTTCGTTTATTGATAAGGCTTCAGAAGCTAACATTATTTAGCATAGGCCCCGCTTGCAATCGTTTTGAATATTCTTTACAGTAAAAATATGAATGTCTTCATCATTCATTTTATGTTAGGTTCCAAAGAAGGTTCAGCATTAAATTAGAGGCCAGCAGCGCTGACGCGCTTCCTTGGACCAGAATTGGAGGACGTTTGCTTCGTTTGGGCTGGCGGATCACCCTTACACCGTAGAGTTGCAGCGCTTTGGTAGGACGCAGTTCCAAAAGCAGATAACCCCTTGACAAACAAAGTATAATTCTAGTTCTGGCACATGCTGAACAAATGCCCAAGGGCACGGAATCATCAGACAATCAGGAGTGCTATACATAATGCGCGTGACGTGAATTTTTTTCTTTTTTTGACTGGTCCAGCCCTTCGGCCTCTAACCAGTGATCTACCATTGAGTTGATGTCAGACAGTGCGCACATTAGCGTGACCATACTCAGGTTAAAAGTTAAAACGGACACAAATAACTAACTTCACGCATAGCACCTTTTTCTGAAGGCATCATCAGGCGTCAGCCCACCTCTCAGTTAAACTTTTTCCGGTAGGCAAAGGCATAACTGAGTCCTGAGATAAGGAAAACCGATTCAAGGTGGTATTGCGACAAACGGTTCTATCTCAAGTGACCGCTTTGATTTCCTGTAGACTTGTGTTGCGGCGGAAATGATATATCAATGGCACAATTGTCCTTAACTTGGACACCGTATGATACAGTATCACTCAAGCGACGATGGCAGCATTAGTTAGCGTAGGTCACCACCTCGAGTGGGTGTTGAACTGAGCCTCCCAAACAGGGCTTCGTTGTGTCGCAAAACGCCAATTCCGCTTCTCTATGCGCATGATTTTCAAAATTAAAGGCAAACAAAGCCGATGTGTAGCTTTTCAAGGTTGGGCAATAGATTATAGGATAAATTGATTTACGCATATTCTAACGAGAAACTCTCACAAATACTAGTTTGCCAGTAAATCTGAGCATAAAACTGACAAAATTGGGCACATGCGATGCATTTGACATGGACATGTTTTCCTCACTGATAGTCTGCGTCAGAACTCGGACTACTGAATTTACCCATCCCCGTTCCACCATATTTGTTTGTTGTTGCTTTTGGGGAGGGAAGAGGGTAGGTTCTTTCGACCTGAGAAGACCATCGCAGAGTCGGGAGGACGAAAAAAGTTAGGGGGAGACACTGATCCGGTCGGCCGCCCTGGTGGCCAACGGGGCTGAGCCCGTCTCTCTGGACTGGCTGCTCAGTGCTCAGCCCCGCTCGTGGTCACCCCACCAACTGTATGGCCTGGTCCTGTGAGGACCCTGCCATGTCGGATCAAGGTAACCGTCCAGCCCGGAACATGGGTAATGGGCATGGAGGATACGGATTTGAATATTCTGAGATGGGAATGACGGAACGGCGACCATCATGTATGTAGGATGGGTGGGGACCTATAGTAGGAGTCTCACAGGGCCTTCGATACAGTCTTGTTGCGTACAATCAGAGACATCTAGCGGACGTGCCACCAAACTCACCATTCCTCGTCGGCTGAGGCGGCTGGCGGAGGCGGCGGCTCGGCGGAGCTTCCCTCCGCGGCCGCCTGGCGGCGCTGGCGGCGGCGAGTCACATCATCAATGGCCTTCTGCTGGAAGTTGACTAGAAACTGCTCATTGGTGGAGTCATCTTCCAGAGCTTCTGTGCCCGTCTGTAGACGGTCGTAAATCATCGCCTTGGCCTCCAACACAGTCCTGCCGGGTAAAAGGACAGTCACACGTGAGACGCGTACAATAAAACGACAGGACGCTTCTCAGGCAGGACGAGAAAGGCTGTTCTGACTGGTCACCAGCGAGTCAATGGGGTACAAAGGCAGATTGAAAGCATGGATGTGCAGCGAGGGAATGCAACAGCAGATTACCGAAGGAAAGCCCGCCAACTGGAACCTCAACCTGGAATTTTTAAGACGCAGTCGTTCCACAGATTGTATGGCAGTAAGAGGCATTGTAAGTGCAGCAACGACGAAGAATAAATTGATATCGCGACAGACAATCCACAAATTAGGTGTTCACTGCTAGCTCCTAACTTGTCCTTTGCTTGTTTTACATAATGGTCATATTGTGTTACAGATCCCTTCCGCCCGTCCGACTCCGTGGCGCAACGGTAGCGCGTCTGACTCCAGATCAGAAGGTTGCGTGTTCAAATCACGTCGGGGTCAAAACTTTTCCGGTCGCAAACGAGACGAGAAAACTAAACCACGAAACAAGCCAGGCTCTGAACCCTCAGTTCCTTTTTACATCAACGTTTAAAAAAACATGGTAATGATTGCTGAAAAGCATGCCCTAGCGTTAACGTAACGCTTATCGGTCACTCATATCTCAGAAATCCATAGATCCTTAGAATACTCAGATATACGTTGACGACCACGCCTAAACGCGTTTAGATGCCGTGTGTTGCTTAGTAACATAATTTATCTATGCAGTTTTCATTTTTATCAGGTGTATCGTGACTGCTTGATTGAGTATGAGCTTTTAAACAACACCCACGCCAGCGGTCGCATTTCCTGATTCCCTTACCTGGATCGGTCCAGGTCCTTGGTCTCCTGCTCCGTCTCCTCCCGGTCCCGCTGGTCGCGCCTCTCCACCCCGGCATTAGACTTGGACCAGACCGCCGTCTTGCCGGAGGCGCGTGCCGTGCTCGTCTTGGACCATATCTTGGACTTGCCGGAGGTGCCGGAGGTGCCGGCGGCGGTCGGCCGGTCGGAACCGCGGTGTAAGTTGCGCGACTCCTGCTGTTTTCTATGCAGTTCAGCTTTCAGATCTACCAGCTGAAAGAAAGACAAGAGAGAGCTGAGTGACGAGACGAATAGGCATGCATTGACTATTCCACAAAAGTCTACCTACTAAAGACCTTCTGGAGGGCGTGAACAATCTTCATCGACAATGAATGTTTAACTAGCCAATAGGTTGCAGCTTCAATTTCCTCAAAAATGTTGGGAAGTGGTAATCACCATCATATTCTGATCCTTGTTGAGCTCACTACTGGATATTGGGATGAAAAGATTAATGGGGTGAAATAATTGATGATTGTTGGGACAAATAAAGGCATTTTACAGACCAGTACAGTCTAGAATGAAGTTCTGTCTGTATGTCTGCCTGAGTGTCATGTACAAGACTGTATGCATATGTCTATACAGTAAACACCCTGCTGGCCTGCTGGGCAAATACTTACTGAGGAGGTTCCGATTTCAATCTTCTTTTCTTTGTCCATACTTATTTTATTTATACAATCAATACCCAAAAATATTAACTTGAATTATTGAAGTCACTGGCTTAAATTCTAAAACCACAAGACCCTGGAAGCAGAGGATCAGAATCAGCTACTAGTAACCTTAGCTTGAGCTAACAAAATAAGCCATCATCACCCACCATCTCTTGTTTATTGGTTTGGCTCAGTCTGAACCTGAATCATACTGGAATCCTTTTCAAATGTTTCTACTATCTTTATCCCTGTGAGCCAGCAAAAAGTCACAATTTCTTCTACCCAGCCAACAGCCTTAGTTCTACATTATAGTCACCATGGTTCTACCCAGGTTAGATCAAGCTTGTGACTGCTTACATGTTGATGTGAGAGATTCTGTTAGTTTCACCACATACAACTTCTACATCTGTAGCACAATTTGACATATCATAAAAATAAAAAACTTAGCAGATGGCTTGACAACATCAAGCCTTTCATAATTTAATTCCAAGTTCCAACTATAATAGCGATCCCATCAGATCAGGCATCAGCTGAACTTCGTCAGCGTAACATTTTCACCCCAACCTGATAAAGCGAAGGATGTGCATGTAATTTCCTGGAGGATGCATAGCTGGTATCGGTCACCCTGGCGTCACCGGTAGTGTTTTCGTTCAAGGCTAAGGTTTCCTGTATTAGAAAGGAAAGGCCATTACAATTAGTCCAGCTTGGCCATAATTCGGACGACGGTGAAAACAGGGCGCCTGGGGCGATTTGATCAATGTTTGTGAAATTCACACGTGACGTTTAGCACATAGAAGGCCCACGGAGGGGGAGAAGTTCCAAATGTCACGTGACTAATATGCCCTCCAGCGCCCTGTTTTCACCGGCGTCCCATAATTCTAAGAGGCAGGAGGTTCTAAGAGGTAGGAAGCAGGTTCATGGGGTTCAAACTTCAAAGCAAAGAAAATGCAAAAGATCAGTAAGAAATGCATCATAACAGCTCTCAAAATTATCATTCCTCATCCCTCACAATAAAAATGGACCAAAAATTGTTTGAACACAAATACTGCTGAACATGCCTAATGCGATGGCCTTGCCTAATGCACAGTACCTATGGTATCAAAATGATTGGTAGAGGTATATTATACCCTAACACCCCCACAAAAGCGACAAGCAAGGTAAATAAAAACACGATAATAACAAGAAGAAACCCAACAAACACAAACACAAAAGTTTGATATCGCGCACAAGCTTGTGTATACAAAAAGGGTGCAAAACGGCTTTATTTTAGGTAGGGTTCATACTATTTGAATACTATCATTCAACATCGTTGCTTCTACCGGCTTCTACCATAGATCAGACACGAATACGATATGATACAAAAACTGGGTTCTTTCATATAAATTACCTAATTTTAGAGACCAAATTCCATCAATCTTAGGACAAAAAGTTCAATGATAAATGATTTTAAAACATTCGTAACAAATGTTAACTTGTGTCATGTGAATTTAACTTTACAAAGCTGTCTTTCTTCAGCTTACAGTAATAGCGCTTTTGTCACAAAATAAGAGCACACTTGACTACTAAATACTACCTTGTCAACTCACAAGTGAATGACAGCAAAATATTGCTGAAAAAAAACATTGCTGAAGCAAATATTTCAAGATTCTACCATTAACAAATAACAAAGCCTTGATTTTAGCCAACTTAGACGGGTTATTGCCTAAAAAAGAATCATGTTTCCATAAGAGGTTAAAATTACGTTCCGAAATTTACACATAATTTGTGATTTTCGAACCGAGCATACAGTACCCGAAATACACCAACTCCTTTCGAATTTTAATTTTGAAGCTTTTGCAACAATTGAAATTTGAACATAATTACGGTTATCATAATATACAAGTTATGACGCTGTCCATTTACCTAAGCAGTAATCTAAGCATCAGAAAATGACTCCTTTCCACTGAGGAAAAGCAGCATCCCTTGCTCTGAATAGAGCATTCACGTCGATGTTGACAGACTCGAGGCTTCCAACCAGCTCCGTCTCAACGGCACATACGACCGATTTATACAGCCTTGACACGACCTAAGGGTTCGAGAACACATCAAATATGTTTAAACCAAGGTAAACACACAGCCTGCTCCAAGAGGTTTATTCAAAAATATAAATCCGCATATGTCAGAATAACACAGCCCGTGGAAGCACTGGGCTTGTCAAAGAAATGATCCACATGGGGCGTCTCCGTCATTGGATTAGAAAATAGTATTCAAAGAACATATTATAAATAGACTTCTACCGTCCGAACCAAGTAAAAAAGCATGACGAGCGAAAATATGATACGTGCACTGGTCACTCTCACAGCAGAGCAGGAAATGTCGCACATACGAGTAAAATCGCCAACATCTTCCGAGCATTTCAATGGAAAAAGTCAAGACTATGGCACGTCAATAATGTCATGACTATTTGTAACCAGTCGAGTAACACATACATCGCCCTTCACAGGAATATCGATTATCGCGCAGTTAATAACCCTGCCTAATACACAAAACCATCGGCTCCCACTGACAGCTAAAAATGAACACACGCCTGCATTACATTGGTCCAGAGGTAGAAAACATCCCCGCTGCTGCACACACAACCAATGATCGTCGGCCCTAATAACACATGGCACCCCTAATAAAACCCTACATGATTTACATCCGCGCGACACTTGAGCCCCAAATATCACGCGCTGAGCGCTGCGGCGCCATGCGCCTGTCCATGGAAGCGCAAGACAACCAATCATTTTCCAATGACACCCTACCACATTTTGGAGGCACCCCATTAGCGGATGGCCGCACCAGTCGAACTCCAGCCAGCGAGCCATCACCTGAGATCCATTTGGCTGCCCGGCCCCGGGGGCGGTGGGACGGAATGCTTATACGTACGTATCTGACTCTCTATACATGCTCAGCGAGCCGGGCTAAACGGTGGTTACTTCAACACCGGCGGTAGGGCACAGTGGAGCGCTGCTATAGCTATGTGGCTGCATCGCGCTCCTGCCGCCCAGGCGCAGAACGCTCCTAGTTCGAACTTCTGAGGTACTGTAGACTATGGAAGAGCCGAAATTGCCGGTTGTGTCAGCAGTTTTGTGGCCTTTCAGAAGACTGTAGATTAAACCCTGTGGCGTGGAAGATGTGGTAGCGACAGCATCGTCGCTGAGTACCAAGCTCAATTGAGGAACTTGTCTGTCCACGGGGTCCATCCCGCGGTAGTAGTTTGCCCGATCACACTGTAGCACACCCCGCCACTAACACGTGACTCCATCGGCGCCCCCATGTTGAGTATCACGTGACGGGGCCGGCCCGGCGCAGCACTGCCGGCAGTCGGGAGTTTGGCGCGGCGGCTCGTCCCAGTAGAGTCAGCGTGGAGGCCAGTGCGAGCCGTGTGGGTGCCGCCGCTCCGCCGGGCAGCTGTACGAACACGGTGGTCACGCCGGCCACACCGTCCGAACACGGCTCCACGGCGGCCGGCCGGACGGGCAGGTCGGGCGAGCGGCGGCGGCGGCGCGCCGCGCCCTGCGCCGTCTCCTCCTCCGGCTGGAGGTGGAGCGTCACCCGAGCGACCGCACGGCGAGCCATACTGCGCATCTCCGCCTCCTGCTGCCGAGCCGAGCGGCGACGGCTGGTCAGCCGCCGCAGCCGCCACATCGCCACACACAGCGACAGAAAGAGGAAGAAACACGAGAAGAACACCGAGAAAAACACAGCCATGTTCATCTTGTGCTGGTCCTGTCGGAAGAAAACGGTGCCGCGGGCGGGGGTGACCCCCACACTCAGCGCCGCTAGGTAGAACGTGGTGGTCCGTAGGTCATACTGATGCTGCGGTAGCTGTACCGTCAGCCTCCCTCTCACACGACGAACCAGTAGCAGATCTCTCCTTCCAGTCAGCTCGATGAACGTGTTCACCTGAGCGGCTGCACGCGTTACCCTTCGATACAGCGGGGTCGCTGTACTGTTGGAGGCAGGCGCCGTGTCGCGCCGAGCGCGCAACCCGCCGATGTGATCCTCCGGCTCGGTGTGGTACCTCGGGTCGAACACTATTCTGTGCTCCCCGGTAGAAGAGTTGACCTCCACCTGAAGGGCGTCCTCATGGGCCGTCAGGTAGACGTCCACAGCACCCTCCGCAACGTCTACCACTAGACGAATGTCCACGTTCAGGTACTTGGGGTGGGCGGCGAAGAAGACGGTGCGGCCTGACAGCAGAGCGCCCGAGAGGCAACAGGCACCGCACAGTTCTGAAAGGAGGCAGGGAAAGGTGTAAGCAGGACGTCGCATAGTTCTGTGATCGAAGAGGGAAAGGGACGTTATAGACGCATCAGACAGACGTTTCAATTAACGAACCGGAGAGCGACCACTGCAACGGCAAAGCATATATTTTTGAGGTCGAAGTCAATGGACATATCCGATTACATAATGCATCGATGAGTCAGTACAATTATTGTCGCATAGGTACTAACGTCATGCACGCACGAGCTGGTATGCACGGCGTCCATTTACACCACCAAATTCCCTATACGATGCGGCACTTCCCGCACTTCTGTGCTACAATGTACCGTCACTCGTCAGTCGGCTCTCACCGGGTCGGGCCGAGTCCAGGCAGTAGTCGAGGTCGACCTGCATCTGGCGGTAACACTGGTGGCCGTCCGTCGGCCGGCCGCGGTAGTTGTCACGGCACTTGATGCACTGAAAAACCCGCAAAATAAAGACTGAGGTCAGCGCTGAATTATCCACACGGACGCTTCTGATAGGCTGTGACATCAGGTTGAAAGCTTGAAGAACCTACGGTTGACTCAAGCAATGGATAGTAACTACCAGGTACTGCTTCGGTCGCAAATCTACTTCTCACACTGGCTTAGAAACTTATGATTACCTAGTTGTAACCGCATACCCACAGTGATATGTTATGCATATTGCATGTAACCTCGGCAGCTTAGCCGCGTACTCTCGGTGCCAAACAAAGCCTTCCCGTGCTGTGTGGCCCACCCAGCTCACCTGAAGTTCTGAGCAGGGTTGGCCGCGCTTGTAGCCCTCCTGGCGGCAGCTGCGGTCCGACTCGGTGTTGTTGTGACAGTCACAGTCCTCTCCGGTGACAGGGTCACACAGTGTGCCGTGGCCGTGACAACGACACCTGATACGAAACGAGAGTGTCAGCATGGACACTTCAGTGAAAGAAGCCGAGGATGGGATTTTACGTGAAGACAGCATTACCATAACGTGAATACACATTCGATGCCTTTTGAAAAATTGTGGATGCTGAAATTTCAAGTCATAGAGAGCAAATGAACAAGTATTTCAAGCACTGATGGTTGCAATTTGTGCTTTTCTAGAACTTGCATTTTAAACGCTGAAACACACCAACAGAGTGGTGGTGAGCTGATCTGAATAAAGTCGCATTGCGCCATGATTAGTGTTTAGTTACACTGACGAATACCATTTGGAATAACCAATACTTACGGTCTGCAGTGCTTGTCGGGGCTCTCGCTGCCTCGGAAGAAGCCGGGCTGACACTGCTCGCACCGACTACCCAGCGTGTTATGTTTGCACTCCAGGCAGACGGCGTCATGTCGGGCACCCTCGGCCACCAGCTGTTTCAGTTCGGAGCGCGACATTTGACGCAGCTGAAACGGACGCACGGAACAGACATCAGTCAGCACGCGTGATCCGAAACAGCGACGGCAGGGTCCGCGGAATACGGGAAGAAGAATGAGATAAAGCGGGCGCAATGCATCACTGTTCATATTGCAAACGGCCGCGACACAGACAGGTAAAAATAAAAGCAGATACAAATTGTATACGCACAGCATAAATACTCATACAACTCTTCAGGCAATCCTATTACTCTTGCCTAAATAAAAACGCCGATCTACCGCACACACTGAATATGTCCGCTAGGTACACCAAATAAAACATGTCTCATTTTCGCATCGACAGTTTTTATTCTCCGCCCTACTCTTCTCCCTATAGACCAGTAAAACGCTGTTGGGCGAAGAACGAGCGAGCGAGATAGTGAGCCCTGCACGCGCGGAAGGGCGAGAGGGTACTTACAACGGGCTTGTGCAAAGCACCCTTCTAACCGGTCGCTAGCGGTGTGCCAAATTTGAACGCAATCGGCCCAGCCGTTCCTGAGATCTGGAAGCG